CCCCAAAACCCCAAAACCCCGTTCAGTCTTAATTGAAACATAATCAATCTATCAATCAATTTTAATCTAAATCTCAATAAAATTCTTAAATCACTAGACAGTCTCAACCTTTTTGCTGACTTTTTCTTCAAATTTTTATTGCTACTCTTTAATGACTGAATTCTTTATTTTACTCTTATTATCCTAAGTCTAATAATAGTCCAAATTAGCTTATTTCCATAGTCTCTCGAAAGATGCTAGTCTTTCTTTTCTGACTAACATTACTACTAAATTACCTTCGCATTTTTATACACTTTTCAATAGCTCTTCATTAATCTCGTCAATAACAATTTCATCATAGATTTATGCCCTTGTTTTCTCTGCTTCTTTTGTAGCTATCTCTTTTATAAGTTCATTTGTTGAACTCAATTTCTTCGGTTCTACTTCATTTTTGTTCATTAGTAGACTCTTCTTAGCATCTTGTGCTACTGAATCATTACTCTACCCTATGATTTTATCAGTAATTTAGTTCTACATTTAAGACTTTGCTTCATTAATTTATTATAGAGCAATTCTAAGCTTATCTATGTTATCATCCTCTTTCTTTGCATCTTAACTAGCATCCTTGGTTTTAGATTGTATATCAAATATAGTCATATCATCCTTGTTTTATGGCTTGATGGTCTTCTTTTTAGTCTATGATGCTGCTTCTTTGTAAACCTCTAGCATATTTAACTTAGATTTGTATCTCTTCTCAGTAATCACGATTGACCTATCACCTAATATTGTCTTACAAGGCATCATTCTATATTAGCAAAGATCCATGCCACTAAGCATCTCAAGATAGCTAGAATCTAAGTCTAATTAATTTCCCTTTATTATCTAATCATAATCTTCCTTATCTAATAATTTGTAAAGTCTTTCCATCTTTTTATCATAGTTAGGATCACTTACAGTATCATAAAGCCAGTTATCATATCTTTCCTAGCACATTTCCAGTAGAACTGTATCAGGCTTCACATCCTTCACTAAGTCTCTAATTAACTTTGTATTGTCAACAATAGCTTTTTTCTATTCTAAAGTCTGCTCTTTTTACTGCCTTAAGAAATCTTCCTCCATTCCTACAGCAAATATTTTCTTTTTAAAGTTGTCCAGCATTATCAAATTTTTTTAATTCTTTGCCAATATAGCTTCTTCAGTTTCCTTAAGCCTCTTATTTCTCTCCTCTTCATGATATTTTGCAGACTGATACAGAGTATAACCAGCGTAACCTAGAAGACAAGGAACCCCAACTATATATGAAAGCTTCTCAATTGTTCTGAAAGTCTATTTCCTCATTTCTTGATTATTGAAATTTGATTGATTATTAATAATTTTATAATTAAAAAAGTTTATGAATATAACTAGAAGGGGTTTTGGGGTTTTGGGGAGATCGGAA